CGCGCCCTCCCTTGGCGCCTCGGCGTCCCCCCGCACCCCTGTCACCTTAGCCTGGGCGGGGCGGCCTTGGGGAGCCCGATCATCAGCCCCTAGGTTCTGCAGGCTGCTAGCCAACACCCCTCTTTTCTGGTCCGCAAGGCCGGTCTCAATCGCCGGGCTTCTCTGCGCGCCCTGGGCAACCCTCGGCCACGCGGCCCTGCACGCTCCAGCTTCAGCTGGCAGGTCCGGGGTCCGGGAGGTGGGTTCCCAGAAAGCTGGAGGGGAGGTGGCAGAGGTGAGGGGGAGGGAACGAGGTGCAGGGAGATGGGGTGTGCTGGGGTCCTGAGCGTTGTCCAGGGAGCAAGTGGGGGGTCAGGTGGGTATTCTGTGGAAGAGGCTCGGGGTTAGCATCCTGATGGTGAAGACCACCTCCCCTGGAGGGCTTTAAAAATTTTAGTTCCTGTTTGGATGATGAGCCAAGGGGAGTCTTGGGTGCTGATGCATTTCATACCCTGCGGTGAAGAAAAAGGGTCTGGAACAGCGTTAGAACCCAAATTTCTGTAGTGAATCCTTCACACTGACGTTCCAGCCAGTAGGTTCGCTTTGGGGGAAGAAACGACCATGTTTCTGGTGGGGGGTAGCTTGGTGTTTTCATTGCGGTCAGATGCCCTGTCCCTGGGAACAAAAGAAGAAAGTAAAAAAGGAAAGTCACACTTACACCCTCTGCCTAGGCTTCCCCTGCTGGCCTGGAGTAGGGAACTTGCCTCTCAAGTTGCTAAACTGGCAGAAGGTTCGTCCAGTTACTTGTATTTCAATTCCTTGATTTTGGCCTGGAGGAGATTATAAGCCACATTTTATCCATTTTGAGTTTACTCCAAATGTCTGTGATTGCTTTAAACACAGTATCATTAAAAAAAAAAAAGACTTATTTATTCATGTATTTATTCATGCATACAAGATCTGGGGTACAGGCGGGAGATGCAGTAGGTGAGAGGATTCACCATAGACAGAGTAGGGAGCAGATCGGGCAGATCTACTGAAATACACTGCTGAGGGGAGCAGCGGGCGAGACAGGAGAGGTCTGCTGCACCATGTGAGTCACCTCCCTGGCCGGGGATGGAACTCATGCTGCAGTGGCTGTGGAGAGCTTCATAGTGCTGTGCTTTAACCTGCTGTGCCACCAACAAAGGGCCTTGAAGACAGTTTCTTTTCCTGGACATTTTAGCAGCACCAGGGTAGACCAATCCTAATCTTAAAAATGTGTTTTCTGTGTATCACTCAGATCATTTACAAAACAGGGACTGTTGTCAAGATCCATGCATCAAACCTTCACCTACAGCTTCTAAGTAAGCTGATTTGTGATTACTGTTTCTCATCGCCACTCTCTAAAGCAGAAAGTAGGTCTTCTCCAATTTATGCCCAGCAACTACCAAAATGCTAGCTAAGTAGTGGGAACTCAGTCTATGTTTGTTGAAATCACAGCAAATGAGCCTGTGTGTTCCACCGGCATTATAATGTCAGCTGGTCTTCTTTCTGAGCCCAGGACCCTGCCAGAATTCGTGGGATGACGAGTGAGGGAAAACTGGACTCACAGTTCAGCCTTCAGTTACAGAGTTCTGCACATTTCTATGGGGATCTCAGTTACCCTATAGACTTCACCTCTGTCCTGGATGGCACAGCAGCACTCCTGTTCTCTAACTGACGCCCTTTATCTTTCACTTGTCCCCAGGCACTGCCACGCCCTGCAGACAGTAATCTGCGTTGTAGGATGTTAACGGAGGACAACTTCGTAGAGCACGGTCACACACACAACTCTGGAACCTGTTTTTGAGCTGGTGATTAGGGTAGTGGAATCAATCACTGATACATTTAGGTCTAAGAATAAGACAGGTGATTTGCTGCAAGGAGGGCTTATAGAAAGGCACAGACCCTATTTTTAAAGACCAAATGTTTCGTGCACTTCTGTGTCTGACTTGCAGAGTGATTGATTGCTCCATTTGCAGGAATTAGTACAGGAATTAATATTAATCAATGACCAAAGCAGAGATAGTCTTGTGATGGATGGTCACAAGTTTCTCCCTGCTGTTAAGTATCACTCCTTCCGAAAGGACTATTTCCATTCCTTTCATGTATTTGCCTTGCCTGGGAGACGGATGATGAGCTTCCTAGGACAGTCCTTACCTTACAGTGGAGGCCAGAGAGGTTCATCTGTTTGTTCAAGCTCACACAGCTAGTTAGTGGCAGCGCTGGGCTGAAGAATCTTGGACCGTTTCCAAATCTGATGTTTGCTCTACTGTATCACACTGTGAAACTCTTGTGTTGATTGCCCTGAGTGCTTAATAAACACTAGATTTCTACCAGCAACCCATTGGTTTCTCATTGCCGGCTTGTTCACTCCCATTCATATTTCTTTTAACTGAACATCATCGCCTTCTGACGGCTAGTCCATTGTTTATAGGAAATGAGTTGGTGGGCGATTTCCAGCCCTGTTGGACAGCAGAACCCATCACAACAAATCAAAGTCAAAGTGCCACTTCAGGAGGAACACACACCATTTATTTTTGTACCCCCAATGGAGTTGCTCAAAGTGCTTTGAAAATGTCTCATTAATCCTCATGACACCCCTGTGGGATAATAATAATATTATTAGAATGTTTAAGCATAGAACTGCGGCAAAGCCAATAGTCTTTCCGGGCATGCGCAGAATTGCCGTGAATTTCAATCTTCAACAGTGGAGTCGAAGTAAAACCATCTGATTTGTAAACAGCAGAATTTGGCTGCTTGGACTGACTATGTCGCTGCGGACATCGTTCAAGCTTCTTGCTGATCACAGCAGTGCTAGAAATCGCTGACCATTAGGTTGCCACATGCTTAGCAGTGGCTGAGATTAACCCCAAGATGTTTGAGAGAGGGAAGAGGCAGGCCTAGAAATGGCGACGGGTTACAGTGACAGATGTGTGGATGGAGAAAGAACACCTACTATGTGCAAAGCAATGTTCTTAGGTACTGTGGGGATATGAGTTAGACGGTAGACCTGGCCCTTGAAAGGCTTATATTGAGCTAGGAAGATAGGACAGAAATCCACAAAGATCTTTCCATCTTTACAGCAGTATTAACAATGCAAGACTGGAGTGGCAGGAATGCCACAAGTGACCTGTGCTAACTGGTCTATTCTAGTCAAGCTGATCCTGACCTCCGGGTCTTCGTCCTTGCCCTTCCCGGTGTGTGCGACACCTTTCCTCCAGCTTTTCACAGAGCTCTGTGCATCACATTCACAGGCTTTCCCTGTGATATCAGAGTTGCTTTTCCACCCAATTTTGCCTTCCCTAATTGGTAACTTGGCAACTTTCTAACCTCTTAATGGCTTTATTTTTCCTCATTGTATTTACTTGAACTTCTATTTTACATTTACTTGTTTACTATTTCCTGGCTGAAAGCATAAACTCCCCAAATGGTAGGGTATTGGCTTTTTCACTTTTGTATTCCCCAAATCTAGAGCAGTTCCTGGCCCTAAAATAGAATGGAGGAAAGACAAGAAGCTGAGTGAACTTCCAAATCAACTGGCATTGTGGGTAAAAAGGGTTCTTTGGGGGATATCTGTGCAATGCATCCTCTGTTTCATAGGCGCAGCTCAGCAGTGCAGCGAAGATTGACACTTTTCAAATACCACTTTCTCCCTTTTACTTTACTTTCATTTCTCCCTCCATGAATTTTCTATCCTGCACCCCAGAATTATGTTCTAATCTGACCACTTGGAAATTCTCCCACACATAACCCAAATTTAATATTTATAGCACTGAGCTCATTATCTTTCTCTCCAAACAGGCTTCCCTTCCTGTTTTTCTTGTTTCATGCTATAACACAGTCACCCCTGAATCATTCCTCTGTCTCCATATCTAGTCACCAAGTGCTTTCTATCCACACCCCCGAGTCCTGCTCAGGTCTGCCCTCACCGCTCCATTGTCACGGCCACTGTCCATTTTATAACAGGTTCCCGCTTTCAGGCTCTCTTTTATGTATCTCATAAAATAGCTGTGTTATTTCTGCAAAACATAAATTTGACCACATTGCTTTCTAAGGCGGCCATGATAGCTGAACTCTGGTGGAGTCTTCTGTGCTCTGGCTGTATCCGTGTGCTCTGCCCACTCACCCTGGACATGCCACCAAGCCATACCTCTGAGCCTTTGCTCCTCTTGTCCCCACTGCCTGGACACCCCTCCTGCCTTTTCCCCACTGGTGAATTCAATCTTCAAGGGCCAGCTTAGAGGACACCTCTCTTGAGAACTCTGCCTGTCTGTCATGATTACCACTTCAAAGTAAACTCAATGAAACTGATTGTAAATGAATTCATGTTTCTTTCTCAGCA